TTTGTTTTTTTTTTTTTTTTTTTTTTTTTTTTTTTTTTTTTGCGGGGTGAGGTAATTAGGTTTACTTACTTATTTTAATGGAGGTACTGGGGATTGAACCCAGGACTTCATGCATGCTAGTCATGCACTCTGCCACTGAACTATACCCTCCCTCCAGGATTGGTTTCTGAGTTTGAATTTCCATTCATCTGTTCGGTTCTGAGCTCTGTTAGGGGCTGGCTCTAACCAGCTTTCCCCTCTTGCTCTCAAACTCTTCCCCTGCTGCAGTCCTCTTTGGACCTGTTCCTTGCTGGGCCTGGAGCCCCAGAGATGAACTGACAGGCTCCTATGAGTTCACAGTTTAATGGGGGAGACACTGGTGACCAAGCTTGCAGTGCAGTGTGAGAAATCATGGAGGGGTGCTGAGTACCCTGAGAGGGTCCTATCCAGGGGAACCAAGTGTGCTTACAGAGTATGGGTGGGGGACAGGGCAGGGTGGTCAGAGGAGTCATCCCTGAGACAGGGACATTTCAGCTGGGCCTTTGATGGATGGATAGGAGTTCAACATGTGGAGAAGAAAGACGGGAGCAGGAGGCCCATCTTGAGAACATCCCCTGGGTTGCCAGGCTGAGCTGGGTCTCCATGGACTGCAGCAGAAATGCAGGTTGGAGACCCCGCCTGCCTCCCCTGAATATCTCCTCAGTTGGACAGACTTAGGAGTGTGTGTGCCCACACCAGTCCTTGGCCTGGCTCTGATCCAAACCTCCTCCTTCATCTTACCTTGGCTGCTTCTCCTGCAGTGGCCAGGCCCAGAGGTGGGCATGCTCAGCCCTGCCAACCCCTCCTTGCCTCCAGCCCAGCCTCCTTCCTCCTCTTGGCGGCTTGAGGCTTATCCCAGCTGTTAAAAATAAACAGTTATAACATCGACAAGTGCCTTCCTGCTTAAGGGGCCCTGGGGGCTGCTGTGACATCCAGCGGCAGGTCTGAGCCTGCAAAGATGAGGCTGGAATCCCAACTGTGACCGATTTTGCCATAGGAGGCTTGGAGGGGTGGCGGTGGTTCTTGGTTGCCTCGCTCAAGCTAGAAGGCAAGGCTGGTGTGAGGAGGCTGAGTGGCCTGGTGGGTCAGCAGATTTGGACGCTTTCTTTGGGGCCACCACACTCTATCTAGACTTCCCAGCGTCTCTCCTGGCTGCTCTCAAAGGCTGGCAGGAGCCAATAAATGGTGCATTGGGCCTGGGGAAAACCTGGAGACCTCAGTGTGCGTCCACCTACAGAGGGCAGCCTCGCCGGACTCATTCAGCCAGTTGTCGTCATGACTGCAGGCCCAGTTGGGTTCAAATATTCTGTTTACAAGAGATTCTGGAAATCAATACTTTCATGTCAATTCTTCCAATTTTTAAAGGTCAATAAATAATTCAAAATTTTGAAAAACATTTGCCAAGTGGACACAGCCAAGGGCTGCCAGTTTAAAGCTGCACTCCCCTCCTGATCTTGGCAGGAATGGTGCTCCGTGGCCTTCCAGCTCTGACTCCACTGCAGCTTCAAATGCCCGGGCCAGGGTGCCAGGCCACACGGATCTGCCTGCCTGTGGGGGGTGGTCCTTGACTCCGATGCCCACCCCAGCTCAGGGAGCTGTGGCTGGGGACTAGGCAGCTGTTGCTGTCCGTATCTAAGATATGCCCGTTGCCCATCAGCCTGGCCTGGGGCATTTGTTCTCAGAGTGTGGTCCC